CGGAAAACGATCCACTACAATATGGGTACACTATATGTTCGGGTCGGGCGCGCGCCTCGAAGGAGGACATATGGTAGTAGTGTGTCCTTGTGCGTCCCATGGTTGTTCTCAGAGCACGGGCCATTCGGGTCTCGACCCATTGGCCCAGGGCTTGGCGTCTTGTCCGAAGGAGTCTCGTGGACGTCCACGGGGCCCGACAAGGGCCCCTGGATGCCGGACATCGAGGGCGTCCAAAACGGAGCTCGAGTCGGGGAAACGCCGCCACGCTGGTCCTGGGCAGGGGACGTGAAGGGTAGATATCTCCCGAGCGAAGTGAACCCCACCCTCCCCCTCAGAAATCCTGGGGGGTAGGAGTGGGGTTCACATGTGGCCCCCCAGGGAGAAGCAGGCCGACGAAGACGAACGCGCAGACGGGAGGCCAGGGCCGGCGGGGCGGGCGGGCAAGCGGAAGAGGGGCCAGGCTGAGACAGCAGGCAAGGAGCAGAAGGAGAGGAAAGAGAGGGAAGCAAGGAGGAGGAGGAGGAGGAGGAGGAGGAGGAGAGGGGAAGCAACCGCGAGCATACAGGCCGGGTCAGGGGCGGGGACTCTTTGGCAGCAAATCATGGGCGCTTCGTGTACCCTCGCAAGTCTGTGTTCAGAGTGGACTGGCGCTGATAGATATTGCCGATTTAGCGTCGATGAGCGTCGATTCGGTGTCGATTAGCGTCGAGCTCATTTCGATTAGCGTCGATTTAGCGTCGATTAGCGTTGATGGGCGTTGACTCGCAAGAGCCAGCAAGATGGTATGGGAGGCTCCCATGAGTTGCGGCAGAAGACTCGAGCACGCCGGAACTCGGGTCTGCCTGCGCTATTTGAGGGGCGCGTCCAGGGCTTTGACGGCCTAGTTTTGTAGGGGATGTCTGTTGCGGGAGCTCGCGTTTAGTTCTTGACGCTTCACACCGCGGCTGTCAGCTGCACTCTGGCCGAGCATCGGGTTGTCTCAGGTGTAACCTTTTCCCATCACTCTGCGGCTGTTAGCTGCACCCCAGCAAGGCATCGACTCGTCTCAGGCGGAACCACTCCCCAGCATCCTGCGGCTGTTAGCTGCACCCCAACCGTCCAGGCAGGCGCGGCCCGTACCCCCCGGTCCGCCCCAGTTACCCACGCCCCTTCTGGGCAGCTGCACGTCTCAGGCGAAATTTGTTCCCACCATCTTGCGGCTGTGAGTTACGCCCTACCAGAGGACCTGACTGTCTCAGGCGAAGCAATCCCCCAACGCTCTGCGGCTGTTAGCTGCACTTCGGACGTGTCTCAGGATGCCTCAGGTTGTACCTTCTCTCCTCTCTCTGCGGCCGCTAGCTTCACCCCCGCTGGGCGCCGGAGCGTCTCAGGCGAAATATTTCTGCAACCGCGGCTGTTAGCTGCTCTCCCGGGGCCGCGGGCTGTTCTCAGGCGATACTGGCGCGGACACCCACCTCCTTCGGTTGTCAGCCGCTTCCCCCCCGAAGGTAATCGTGCTCCTGGCGGCTGTCTGCTGCCTCTCTCTGTCGGGCGCCCCGTGCCCTATGCCTCCCCCCCAGGGCACGAGGGGCGGAAGGCCCCCCTCACCCATTCGGCCCTGCGCTGGCCCTGGAGATGGCCTGGGGTGTTGCCGGGTACTGCCCTCCGTTCTTCAGCAAGAGCGCCGTCGCGTTTCCACTTGCTCGTGCCGCCGTTGGTCACCCCATCGGCTCTGTGGCCTCCTTCCCTTTACGTGGCATCGGCATCCGGCTGGGATTGGATTCGTGCCCTCCGCTGCCTACTTGCGTCAAGTACAGTTGAGTCGCATCCCCATATGCATCCTTGATCTCTGCCCCCGGATTGACATTTATCTTTATCTCGCGTGCGGATGCCGGTGCTGGTGGTGGTGGTGGCGGCGGTGGTGATGTTGCTGGTTTTGCTGCTTGTGGTGCTCTGTTGCCCTCTTGGGGCCATCTTGGAGCAAGTGGTGCTGCTGGTGCTGGCGATGCCGGGGGCCATTTTGGAGGTAAGAGGAAGAGTGGGGGGAGGAGGAAGAGGAGGAGGAGGAGGAGGCGGAGGGGGAACAGAAAAGGAGGAAGGGGAGGAGGAGGAGGAGGAGGAGAGGCAGGAGGAACGCGGTTCGAGGAGGATGAACTGAGGCCCGAACCCTTCGCATTTGAGTCCGTCGTAGAGTCGTTTTTTTATATTATAGGGGGGCCCGAGAGGTTCTTGCGAGAGGTTATTGGGGAACTCTTGGGGCCATCTTTCGGGCTCTCCCAGGCTCCCAGTTTGGCTTTCTTGGAGCTCTCTTGGGGGTCTCTTGGGGCTCTTTTGAAGCTTTCTTGGGGCTCTTTTGGGAAGTCTTGGAGACCTCTGCGGGCTCTTGTGGGGAGTCTGGGAGGCCTCTTGGGACCGTCTAAGACCCCTTCGATCAAAAAGAGGGGGGGTAGTAAATTAAGGCCCCCCCCTCGGAGGCACAAAAGAAGCGTCTTGGGGCCCTCGTAGACCTCTCTTGGGGCGCTCTGGGGGCCGTGTTGGGGCCCTCTTTGGCCCATCGGAAACGAACAAGCGAAAAGGCAACTAACATTGTTTTTCCCTACGTTCTGAACCCATGTTGGCCTCTTGGGGGGGTCCTTGGAGGGCTCGGAGGGCACTTGAAACCGTCTTGGGGCCGTCTTGAGGCCCCTTGGATGCGTGTTGGGGGCTATCTTGAGCCGTCTTGAGGTATCTTGGGCGGCGATCATGGAGGCCAGCTTGGGCTAGCTAAAGCCCTCGTGAAGCTGTCTTGGGCCATCTTGGACGCTCTACCCCCTCGCGGGGGAGTCCGTCCAGACCCAGGGAGGCGGGGAGGTAAACCTCCCGAGCAGGGAAACGAAGGAGGCTGGAAAAGGAAACGCTCTAGACCACCTGCGCCCAGAGGGCTGGTGGGATTTCAGACTGGATCTCATCGTTGTCATGATGGCCCCGTCATGCCAACCGGGGCCCTCCGAACCCGAGTCTTACGTCTTCCCGACGCCTGTCGTTGAACTCGCCTTTCTTGCTCCCTCTGGGGTCGAAGAAAATCACATGTAGGATCTTTCGGAACTCCGCGCGGATGTCCTGGCCCGGCGCTGGGCTCCTTTTCTCGGCGCCCAGAGCTCTCGTTGCGCCCGCTCGTGACCCCCGAAGCCCCAGTCTGACGTCTCCCCGACAGGCTCGAGCGATGCCTGCACTCGCTGGCCCTCGGACTGGGGCCCACCCGCTCCGATCCCTGCACGGACGGCGCGCCCCGCGCCCACTTGCTCCGATGCCCCGAGCCCGAGTCCTGGACCCACCCGATCGAGGGCGAGCGGGGCAACCTCATAGTCGGAGGCCACGCCATCTCCCAGATTTCAGGGCCCCTGTGCCGTTCGACGTCGCCCCTGGCACCCTTCCCTTCCTCCGCGCACACGTCTCGGGCCACGGTGCCCTGACCTTGCTTCGCGTTGCGGCCATGCATAAGCCTCGAGGCTGCTGCGTCACTTGACACCTGAAACTCTGATAGGGACGGACGCGACAACAATGTCCCGAGAGGGCGAGTGCGAGAAGATAAGAGCGTGAAGTGCGGCAGTTGTGTTGAAAAGAATTTGGAATCGGCGGGAGAAGCTGGACAAGCAGAGCGCGACTATCAGGAGTAAGCATAGTGTCAAGGACTGGACCCACCCTGCCAACATCACGCTGACCCTCCTCCTCCTGCCACCCCTCACTCGGCGGACCCAAGAGACAGTAGCCGTTGTGTAGTTCATCTGTCCTTCTTGCTTTCTTGCGCGCCTGCTTTAGCTCAACTCGCGCCCCCCGTAGCCAGATTGCCGCTGCGACCTCCGCAGACCAAAAAAACTGGGGGGCCGCAAACGGTGCGATGACCCCGGACCCCCGACCAATGATTCTTTCGTAACGTCGACCCCCAGAGGTCTCGACCCCTTCCCCAGGACGGGCTGCTCATCCTGAGGCGTTTTTTGACGGCTCCGAAGCCCGACGAGGGCCCCTAGAGGCCGAAAATAGCGACAAATTTCCCGTCGTGATTGTTTCATGGCCCGAGAAGGTTTCGGTGATGGGCCCATTTTCCACCACCACTACCATAGGTAGGAGGTATGAGGAGGAGGAGGAGGAGGAGGAGGAGGAGGAGGAGGAGGAGGAGGAGGAGGAGGAGGAGGAGGAGGAGTAGGAGGAGGAGGAGCCCCCGAGCGCCCCATCCTCCCTTCTCCCCCGTCCTACCTATGGTGGTGGTGATGGTGGTGGAAAACCCAGGCATCCGGCGTCTCGATTTTTTCGAGACGCGGGCCCCCGATCTCTCGACCACTTCCCCGGGACCGGTTGTTCATCCCGAGTCGTTTTTTGACGGTCCCGAGGCCCGGTAAGGGCCCCGAGAGGCGAAAACGATGAAAAACTTGTGTCTCGATTTTTTCGAGACGCCAGATGTCGGGGAATGGGCCCGCCATTGGGACTGCCCCCCGCGGTGAGTCCGTGCGCCTTCTGGGGGGTCCCCTCGGGCCATCGGGGGCACATCCGGGATCCCCAGACAAGCCGTGCGGGGACGCACACCGTCTGGTGGTGGGGGAATGGGCAGCACACACGCTCCCCAGAGATCCAGCGCATTGAAAAAATCAAGACGGAGGCTTTTCGCCGTGTTCGGCCTCTAGAGGCCCTCGCCGGGTCCCAGGACCGTCAAAAAACTACTCAAGACGAAAAGCTGGTCCTGGGGAATGGGTCGAGACTTCCGGGGACCCCGTATTGAAAAAAACGCTGCATTGGATCTCTGGGTCTGGCGACGATGAGTTTGTGGTCGGCCAAGACTCTGCTACCTTGGTTGTATCCTTGCTTGCTCAGCGAGTTCGAGCAAACACGCTATGATACAGAAATGTTTTTTGCCTCACGTCAACGCTGTGGCACCGATGCCGAGAAGACACTGCAAGACGCAAACATGCTGTGATGGCAGGATTCCCAAACATACCTTGCGGGGACGCGCACCGCCCGGTGCGGTCGGTGGGGGTCTTTCGAGGGCGCCGCACCGTCGTGTCTCCCCAGACCTCCTCGCGCCGTGAAACATCCACGACGCAGAGTTTCTCTTGGTACTCTCGGCTTGTGGGGGCCCTCACCGGGTCTCGGGACCGTCAACAGAAACGACTCGGGATGAGAAGCCGGTCCTGGGGAATGGGTCCGGGCCTCTGGGAATCGACGTCATGACAAAATCATGACGTCCGGGGTCTGGGAAGTTGACCCCTCGTTGATCGGGCCATATTTTAAGTCGGGCGTGTCCCTCTACAGGAGGGATTTTCAAAGACAGTTCCTTCTTGATGACTTTGAGCATTTTTTGAGCACGGCTTTGGAATCCCGTCCCCCCGAACGCCCCCTCGAACCTCGACGCCCTGCGTCTCATGGCGCCAACATCGCAGAGCGGATCTCGTTCGGAAAACAAGGGCTCCCCCGAGGGCGCGAAGTTATTCGCGCTTCGCGCTTCGCGGTCCTCGTTTCTCCTCCCCCTCCTCCTCGTCCTCCTTTTCTCCCTTTGGGGGGCGGCGCGAGAGCGCGAAGTTATTCGCGCTTCGCGCTTCGCGGAGCGCGAAGCGCGAAGTTGGGAGCCCTAGGGAAAACGAGAGGATGGGCCCGGAGTGTCCTGGAGAATTTCGTTCCGGATTTCGAGGTGAATTTCGCGCGGCTTTTGTTGTGGCCAGGAATGAAGGCTAAAGCAAATCCACACGAAATTAATGTCGTTTTTCACTCGCCGTTCCGGGGTTTTGCATCGGCAGAAATCCACGCAAAGATCCGCTGCAGCACGTCTACAAGGTCGGTGCAGTGATTCGTCCGAGGGCCTCGAAAAGACCCCGAAACCCTTAGGGCAGTTAGTAGTAGGGCCCTTTAGCCCCTGAGTTGGCCAGAATCACGAAACCAGGTCTGCCGTAGCTGGTGCTTTTTCGGGTGACGGCAGTTTTGGTGAGAGGACCGGGGCGGGTCACACATCCCTCAACCAGGTCCCACTGAACCCAGCTCTGCCAACGCCCGAATCCCGTCCCCCCAAACGCCCCATCGAACCTCGAAGCCCTTCGTCCGAGGACATCGAAAAAATCCTCGGAGCCGTTCGACCTCCAGAGAGAGAGAGAGAGTGTGCCGTCTCTCTCTCGGCGGCGTGTGCGCTCGGTGTCGGTTCCTCCCATTGGATTCCCCCTATTCCCAGACCCCCTCGAGTCATGAAAAAGTCACGACGGGAGGTTTTGCACTATTTTCGGCCTCGGGTGGCCCCTACCGGGTCTCGGGATCGTTAAACAACGACTCAGAATGAAAAACCGGTCCTTGGGAAGGGCTCCAGACCTTTGGTGGTCGACGTAATTAAAGAAATCACGACGGCGGGGGTCTGGGTTCGAGGGACGCTATTCGTTCCGATTCGGTGTCGATTCGGTGCCGATGGCCCGATCCGATTCGAGTCCTAGGTTCAGACGATCGGGTGCGGCCCGATGTTTGCACGGCGCTGCTGTGCATCCTAGCGCAGCCGGTCGAATTCGACTTCGATTCCGTGCCGATGCAGCCCGATCCAAAGTATTGTTCGAGTCGATCCGATGTACCGGTTCGATGCTGACCGGTCCTGCCTCACCCCGAACATCCGAAAAGTGTTCGCGTGGGGCACGCCTAGAACGCTGCGTCAGGGTGCAACTCCTGGAAGGTTAACCTCCGCATGGGCGCTTGAAAATCCGTGGTCGAAAGCTGATCCGACGCACCGATTCGATCCGATTTGCCGATTGGATGCTGACTGATCCTGCCCTCTCATCTGCTTTCAATTCGCAGGCGATTTCTCGACCACAACCCCTCTGCCCTCCTCCTCCCTCCTTCTCTCCCCTTTTGGTATAAGGCCTCGGGCTGCGCACAGACAGCCCTCCAGGGAGTCCTGGCTTCCCAGCTGGCCTCAGCAGGCCCCCCGAACAGTCCCAGCGGGCCTCAACAGGCCCCCCTCCTCTCCTCCTCCTCCTCCTCCTCCTCCTCCTCCTCATCATCATCAGCATCATCATCGTCGTCGTCATCATCATCATCAGCAGCAGCAGCAGCATCATCATCATCATTCCTCATCATCATCATCATCATCATTCATCATCATCATCATCATCATCTCTTCATCTTCATCTTCATCTTCATCATCATCATCATCATCATCATCATCATCATCATCATCATCATCATCATCATCATCATCATCATCATCATCATCATCATCATCATCATCATCATCATCATCATCCGGCTCACCGGTGCGATGCTGACGGATCCTGCCCTCAGGTCGATCGTGATCCGGGAGGGCGCCGTCCCCCTGCTCGTGGAGGTGCTCACGTCCTCGTACCAGAACCCGCGGTGCCCCCGCCCGCTCGCCCGCCAAGCCCTCGCGGTTCCTGTTCCGCCTCCCCCTCCGCCTCCTCTTCGGCCTCCTCCTCCTCCTCCTCCTCTCGCCTCTCCTCCTCCTCCTCCTCCCCTCCTCTCCTCCTCCCTCTCCTCCTCCTTTGCTCCTATTCCTCCTTCCTC